ATGGCACACCAAGGGCATCCAATATCTACTTGTCAGGAAGGATGTTGTCTTTCACGTGGCCTCGAGCAGTGCGAGGCCGGTCTTGCTGCGATGGCAGTGCGAAGGGCATGGCGGTCCAGGGCCGCAAGGGCAGGCTCGCCAATTCCATGCTCATCGCGAGGGATCTTGCCAAGTTCCAGCGCCGCAACCGGCGCGGTGGCCATCGCAGACATCCACATGCTCGACGAGGCGGCTGCCCACAAGGCCAACTGCCAGTCGGCGCTGCCGGCGGCCATTCTTCGTGGCTTCGAGGCGCAGGTCGAGTTCGACAAGATGGCGAGCGGCATGGTCGTCTCCGTGGGCAGCCTGGACGTGGGCTATGACGCCGAGGCCCGCGGCGCGCTGCGCCTGCCGGAGTACGGGCGCGTCTTCGACGATGCGACTGGCGCCCAGCTACCTCCTGAGAAGGCGGCGGCAGCGCGCAAGGCGGATATCGAATTCCTTCGCAGCTTTCCTGTCTACATGCGAGTGGGCGCCTCTGGGGCGAATGGCCACCAGGTCATCGACGCCAGGTGGGTTGACTTGAACAGGGGTGACCGCGAGAACATGAACGCGAGGTCGCGGCTCTGCGCGAAGGAGTTCAAATGGGAGAACCCATGGCTGCAGGACACCTTCGCTGGGGCGCCGCCGCAGGGGGGCATCGAGATGGTGTCGGGTAATGCCACGGCGAAGGACAAGCACCCCAGCGGCGGCTTCGGGGTTAAGATGGCGCTCGTCTCGGACATCTCCAGGGCCGACTTCCACCCGCCAGCCAAGCGCGTGCTGTTTATTTGCATTCCTCGGGAAGATAGCGGCGACAATGCAGGCCAGGTGGGCCTCTTGCTCAGCACGTTGTCTGGCATGAAGGACGCTGCAGCTGGCCCGGGGGAGTGCCGCCACGAGAGTCTGTCGTTGGCGAGTTGAACGGCAGGGGTATAGTATCCTGCCCCTGTGCTTTTGCCAACTCCGACGGCTCGTCGTCTGGAGTGGCCCACGGCGACGACTTCGCGTTCGAGGGCGAGGGGTGGCAGCTCGATGCGATGGAGGTCGAGCTGCGAAAGCGTATGCTGGCGCAGAGGAAGGCGCTCCTCGGCCACGACGCCACGGGCGACAATCGCGCGACGATTATCAACGGGTTCATTTCTTACGTTAGCGGAGTCGGTTCGGTCAGGAGCAGGATCGCCATGGGGCCTGACGCGCGGGGATCCCGCCCCGCGAGCTCGGCCTGAGCGGACATGGTTCTAAGGCGGCGACGACGCCCGCGGAGGAGGGCGCAGTCAATTTCGACGACGCTCCGCTGCAGGGCGTTGAGGAGACCAGAGCAGATCACTGCGCAGGCGGCTCGGCTTCCTCGCCCAAGACGCACCCCATCTCCATTGCGCGGCTCACAGGTGCTGCAAGCACGTGGCGGTCCCGACCGTCGGCGGGCTTGCTCGACTCAAGAGGGTCGCCCGTTTCCTGACGGGCGAACCTCGATGCGCGCAGATCTTCTTCGCATCGACGTCTACTGCGACTCCGACTGGGCCGGGGGCCTCAAGGATCGGAAGAGAACGAGCTCTGTGCTCGCGTTCTTTGGGCTACATCTTGAAGAGCACGGTGGCCACCCAGGGCGCCATCGCCCTGTCCAGCGGCGAGGCGAAGTTCACGGCCGCGGTGAGAGCCGCATCTTTGGCCTTGGGCGTGCGCTCGCTGGGCTCAGATCTCGGCGCGACGCTGTTCCCGGCGGCGCGGTGGTGCGCGCGGACACCGGCGCGGCGCGGGGCGCGGACGACACGGCATCGGCCCAGTCATTTGCACGCGCCTCTCCCGGGCGCAAGAGAAGCGCGCGACCCAGGAGATCAGGGTCCACAAGACACCGGGCGACGCCAACCCCGCGGACCTGGGTGCGAAAGACCTGTCTCGCGTTGTCATGGACAGGCATTCACGCCCCTGCGGCTTCGCCTTCGAGAGTGGCAAGCGCCCGAAGGCTTTGGCCGCGCAGGTTTGGGCGCCTGGTGGAGCGAATTGCTTGGGCGGCTGCGATCGGGACCAGGTGCCGCATAGCGAGCAGGCGTCTTCGACAGGGCGTTCGAGGTGCATCCTGAGGGGGGCCTGGGGCGGCCGCCTCGGCGCCCCGGCGGGCCGTGGACCCCGCGCTCCACTGCCTTCTCTTGATGGGGGCCGGTCGGGCCTCTGGCGGCGGGCGCGCCCAGGCCGAGTGTGCAGGCGGGTTCGAGGCGGGCTGTTAAAATGACGCGAAGATCGGGACAACATCGGATCGGGATAATTCGAAATCTCTGAGAATCGGCAAGTTTGGAGGATGTATTGGGCGCCGCGGCCGCTCCAGAGCGTTCCGGAACGCTCTGAGAGCGCTCCGGAACGCTGTGGAACGATTTATCCCGATCCTAGCCCTGTTTTGCCTGTGGAGATATGCGGAGCCGCCCGCCATAGCCAGTGTAAAGTGCACTGCGTATTGATAGGAAATTCCAGTCGAGACGCTCTTCGAAGGCATTTAGGCCCAACGAATCTATCGGCATCGACGCTGCCAGGCGTGCAGTCGCTCGTCTCTGCGCCGATGACAGTGGCGGCGCGGTCACTGGCGTTGTGCATCTTGCCCACGTCGAGCGCGTCTTTGGCGTAGCGCGCACGGTCGCCACGCTTGACCTCAAGCTGACCAATTGCATGTTTTCCCCGGTGCGCGCCGCTTTCTTCGAGCAGGCGCGTTTGGCGACCCGTCGGCTCAGTTCGTCCATGGTTCCCAGGACTTTCAGAGTGTCGACCTGATCCGGTAATTAGGCTTCTGGTTAGGCCTTGCCGTGACGTTTCGGCGCCAGTGAGAGGGACTACTTGACAAAGTTGGCCATCGGGTGCGGGAGGCTGGTTCTACCGGGGCTCCGGCTTCGGCGCTTGCCTTGGCTTGCTCTTCGAAGGTTGTGTCGGGGCTGTTTTGCCTCGCTCAGGTGCTTCCGCTGCCTCGTGGCGCTCTTGGCAGGCAATTTGGCTACTTGGCTCATTTGTTCAGGATTCTTCTTGGTGTGTTTCAGCTTCAACATTGGCCTCAAATGAGTTCTTGGGGTAGTCCTCGAGTTCCGTCGCGGCGCACCTCGTGCGCTGCTGCGTTCGCGCGGACTTCGCGGATTACGCTTGCTGATTCTCCAGCGGTTTCTGTTGATTGAAAAGCGACTGCTTGACCGGCACGACTGTGTACTTCTATGGATGGTGGGTTCCGGGACGCTCTCGCCGCAGCATTGGCAGTGCACCTCTGTCGCCGAACTCTTGGACCGTGCCGCGGACGTCTCTGGACCGACTGTCGGCTATTCTACACAGCTCCTCACGGTTGCGAGCGCGGCGGTCTCCGGTCTGGCTGCCGAAGCAGAAAGGCGCCCCAGACGTGCCAAATTCCAACGTGTTGCGCGCGCTGTCATGGGCGCCCTCGTTGCCAGTCGTGGTGGCCTCTGCGACCTGTTCGTCCAGCGCCTTTCCAAGTGGTGGCCCACGCGGCGGCAGTTCTTTCTGGCCATCCAGACTCTTCCTCCAGCTGGTTCACGTCTTACTGCATCCTTCGCGCTGGCGGCCTCGAGCGACGTATATCAGGGTGCGTAGGCCCTGACCGTCTTCAGCACTACTCGTTTTGCTGGGTCTTGAAGGCCAGCGGAGGAGGCGCTCAACGTACGCGTGCCGCCTCGATTATTTGTGGAATGGGGTCTGCGGGTGCCGTCGATTGAGGCGGTCCACTTCGTGATGATTTCGTGCAAAGCGTACCACAGTTGCGACCGCGAAGTTCGGCCTGTCCCTCACCATGCTGCTGTCGCCAATGTTCGCGCCGCGTACCGGGCGCTGACGCTGGCGAAGCCTTTCGCCCCACTCTCTTTCTGATGCTTCTGTGGAGTCGCCCTGGCATCCCGCTCATCGTGCAGATGGCCTTCTGGCGCTTCGTCCAGCTGCCAGGGC